ATCAATTTGTATCAAGTTCGATATTTTGCGAAATGGATATTCCTACGCACCTTCGCACCAGAGATCGTCAGCCTCCTTTTGCACGTATATGGGATCTCCGATTTCAAGATCAATTTCGTCATGATGCCGCGATATGAACTTGTGCAGGCCTCGATGCGTTGCCTCGAGCAGTTCTAGTTGGGTAAACGGTACGCCTCCGCTTCCTTCGAAATGAAAAAGCGAACTAGTATTGATTCTCGGAGAAAGTTACTCTGATTAGTTTATGACACGAATAACAATCCTCGGCTTTTAAAACTTTTTCGAACTAGATAGACAATAAAAACCTTCAGATTACCACGCAGTTTCGTCAAACTTCCAATAAAGTATATATCGTAAAAGTATTATGTGCAAAACAATATTAACTGTAACGATTTATTTTTTTGTGTTTCTTTTAAAGAATTTCAATAATTAATTAATTAAAACATTAATTGTTTTAATTGTTTTCGCATAGAAATAACAATGGTAATATTAGTACTTTTTCTAACAAATGTTCATTCTTTTTATCAATCACATTTAAATCAATTAATTTAAATTAATTTAAATTAATTGATGACGAAAATATGGTCTTTCAAGGAGAATCAGCATTACCTGGGGTGCTACTGGGCGAGACCGAGTCCGTATTCTGCAGAGTATTGCAAGGAATAGGCGACACACTCTTGGGGCCATTATCGGGGGAGTGAGCGGTGGAATGACCACTGTCGGTGGCCATCCTCTCGCTGTCGGGCGAGCTGTCTTCATGGCGAAGTCTGGGATGACATTTCCTTAGAACAAGATGAGGCCGAGCCGATGTTGAACCTGTGGCAGCACTCAACTCATCCGCCAGCGAGGACGACGTCTGTATGGACGTCTGGCACATGGGCGCGGCTGAAACAACAATGGAGAACATCAATGCATGTATTTCACACACAGAATATTTCTTTTCTATTTCAATTATATTTTTAAAACGCTGCACTAACTTGACATGTTTTGGAAACGAAATTCAAATAAACGCGTTGTTTAATTTACAAAACAGCACCCGATTCATTCGCGATTGCGAATAGAAAATAAGTTGGTTTGACTGATGACTTCTTATAGACTTGACACGACGCGAATGAACATTTGGATTTTCTTTCACTGTAATATGATCGATTTCTTGGTTTCACTATAAGACGTGTACGTGAAACGATAACAAGTGTGAGAGAAGAAATATATATAGCTGATGTCTATCATAATATAGAAGTGATTTCATGTCAAATCGGACATTAAGATATCTCAACGTAGTTACTATGTTTACATCATGTAAAAAAATTATATAATTAAATATACAACGCAATAAGATACAAAAAACTAATGTGTATATAACTTTATATAATATAGGAATATTTCTTAATCTACATAAATTATAAAGTAAATTAGAGCAAATTATCAAAGATTTGTGAAGCATACAAAAAAAATTTTTAATAAACAAAATTAAATAAAAATTCTAGAATCATTTCTTAATATTAAATTTTAGAAATTTTGATAATAAGTTAATAATATGATAGATAATAAA